GACACTTGAACTCATCTTCCAAGAAAACCATACTCTGAGAAAATCCATGCGGAATGAAAGAGGCCTTCAGTCTCAAAACAAGTTAGAACTCCTCTTATTTAAATCTAATTGGGCTCTCTGAAGTTGTGATTTTTAAGTGGACTTCTTTAACTCTGTAGGTGGGCACAGCAACTTGTAAAACAACCAAAGCGGAAAGCTAGGTGAAGCTAGAAAATAACTAATTAAAAATTCCCAATATAGAGGCCAGTTTACGAAGAACCGAACTGAGCCAAAGAGGTCTTTGGATAAGCATACGGAAATTATGCTGAGATGCACACTTCTCCCTCTGATACAGTCTAAAAAGTTTGATAAAAATAGAGATGAGATTGTTTGGTCAACTTTGGTGCAGGAGATTAGAGGAAGCAACAGTTTGAAAAACCTTACTCTTATATTCAATGACTCTAAAATGTCTCCCATTATAGTTCATATTCCAAATGCAAATGGGTTTTTTGAGTTTTTGTGACTGACTTTCTTGTATTGAGGTGAGTGAGTACAAAAGTCACCTGAACGAAATTAAGCTGACCTCCAAATGAGATTTTCCAGGAGACAATTTGACAAAAACTTTGCAGTCACTGGACATTTTCGTTTTTTCTATACAGAAATGCAGAGTTGGCCTTGACTTTTTCAGAGTACTATCCCCGTAAACTGATGGAAAGGCATCAATGATCTGTATGTGTGAACGTCCAGCCGTGTGCGTGATCCCAAACTGCTGAAGCCGCTCCCTCCTGTGGAGTTAATGAGGTGAGGCGGGCAGCAGTTAACCTAAGTGTGCTTTTACTGCGGCTCCCTCATTACAGCAGACGGACTGGGCCCGGGCCTGTTTACACGCAGGTAAATAGCTGCTTTCACTCCCTGACTGGAATGCTTCTTGGGTTTCGCTCCACAACGGGGGCTTCTCGGATGCATTTACCCCGTCAGCAGTTTTGAGATCAAATAGCATGTCCACTTTGCCTCGGCCGGGCAGCGGCTGGAGGCTTCCTCTGGTTTTTACCCGGGACGATAACATCTGCCTGTTGGAGGCCGGACAGGAAAACGCACATTAAACTGTTGCCTCCAAGTCTGTTTTTCTTTTTTTTTCTGACCACAGAAAGGTGTATTATCTCTTGCGGAGAGTTAGGATTCGGAAAAAACAGGCCGCGTGGGGATGTGTATGGAGGAACTCAACGGTTTAAACGGCAGTCTGTTACTTTAAGCAACAGACTGCTTACCCTCCTCATCAGGGGTCACATGATGCCAATAGATCCAACAGGAAAAAAGCCCAGCGGTGGACACCTCTTTTTCTGTCACTAATCCACATACCAAATATACTCATTCATCCCTTATTACTGTGTGTGTGTGTGTGTGTGTGTGTGTGCACACGTGGGTGTCCTTATTGTGTGTTTTGCAACAAAGCGCCTTTTCTCCTGAAAAAAAATCATAATAATGGTGTGCTCGCTCATCCAGAGAGAGAGAAAATAAGAAATAGAAATTAGAAGATGATGGGTGTGTGTGAGTGTGTGAGAGAGAGAGAGGGGCTTCCAACGTACACACACACAAGCACACACACGCTGTTTTATGTAGTCCTTATTGGACCTTTGATCCAAAGTGTGTAAAGAGCTCTCATCTCCTACTGCGATACACACTTTCATGGCTCTCCTACTCTCTCTCTCCCTTTTTCTCTCTCTCTCTCTCTCTGCCTCACACACACACACACACACACCTACTCACTCCACTCAGGACTGAGGCAGAAACAGCTCCCCACTGAGTCAACCCTGTCACACACGCACTCACAAAAGAGGTCATTTTGGGGTCTCTTCAATGAATACAATAAAGGGACCCCCACACCTCCATGCACACACACAC